GAGGCTGCGGGGGGAGAAGGAGAAGGCGGTGCGTCCCCAGAGGCGTGCGCCCGGACCGCCGGCCGCCGGACAGACGCACAGAGGGAGAGGGCCGGGGGCGAGGTCAGTATCCGGTGGGAGCGCGGGCGGCGCGCGGAGGGGCGGCGGCGCGGGCAGCCGGGAACCCGGGGCAGGGGGCGGGGAGGGCGGCGGCGGGCGCGGGGCCGGCTCCGCTCGGGGGTCGGGCCCGAGACCCTCCCCTGGCTGGTCTGGCGCGCGGCGAGCGCGCCCCGGCAGCGGAAAGCGGAGCCGCCGCTCGCTTCTTCCACCGTCTCTTTTCTTTCCAATCAGCGAAAAATAAACACCCGGGAAGGTAAAACAATAGCGGGGCCACCTGGGACGCGGCGCGCGCGGAGCTCCCACGTTTGGGGCGGGGGCCGGAGGTGGAACGGGGAGTGGCGGCCCCACGGCGGAGCCCCCTCCCGCTGTGCCCCCGCGGAGGGTGGGGCTACCCGTGGCGCCGGGCTCGGCAGGAGGCGAAGGGAATTCCCTGGAGTGAGGCGTGTGGGCAAAGTATTGCAGGAACAATCGGGCTTCCCGCAGTTGCCCTGCTGTGGGCAGGGAAACTGAGGCCGGGGCCAGTGTAGCGACTTGCCCAAGGTCAGAACGCACGGGTTGACTGTCCTGGTCCGGGAACGGGACCCAGGCGGCCAGCGCAGCCCAGCGCTCAGCCCCTCTCGGTTTTGCGGTGCTGGTGTTCGCCTTTGATACATCTCTGTTGTGTTTGTTTTAGAAATCTGCTGGCATTGTGGGACCGGCTTCGCTTCGGGGCCGCTGAACGCCAACTTGCTTCGTGTGTTCTGGGTAGGTGTGGGGCAGGTGGCAGCTCCGTGACCTACCGACATGGATGGAGACGGACTTTTTGATGAAGAAACCCAAACAGTCGGTGCCATTCCGGGGCGATTTAGCTGTCAGAGGTTTTGACAAAACCTGCCCTGTTCCCTTTGGGGAGTCCGAATGAGGGAGCTTACAGACACCTTCACTGGGAAGCCAAGGACATTTCTGTATAATCAGTGGATGAAAGGATTTTCTCAGACTCTTTTTTCCCTTCTCCTCGAGGATTAATTCACTGCAATCTACAATTCCAGTGGAAACCGCAAGGCACGCGATGTGGCAGAAGCCTAGAGGGCCTTCAGAATTGTTCTGGACCCTTCTTTTAGCATAGGGGAGTTCAACACAAGCCACCTGCAGCCCTCGCTGCGCCCCCCCCCCCCAATCTCCTGATCTCTTCTCTTTAACCTGTTCTCATTTTTTGAGTTAAGTTCTGTTTCCAAAACTGTCCTCTGGAGCTATAAGTGGATTGCCAGAAATGAGAGATTAAGTGCAAGAGAAGAGGGAGCGTCCTGTGTTGTGTCTCTTCTCTGCTGCCGACATGAAGTGCTTTTTCCCAGTGCTGAGTTGTCTGGCTGTGCTGGGTAAGTGGATCTGCTTAACAGTGCGATCGATGGGCAAGTTTAACCTGCTCTTGGTTCCTGTAATTCCCTGTGGTTCTTTCCCATCAACACTTGGCTTTGGGGGACACCAGGACACTGCCAGTGTGTATCACAGGTTGGAATAGGGTACAAGAGGCCCATTTCTGACCCAGGAGGAACGGTGAGCTATTGTTTGGTGTCTTTAAGAAGGAGCATCTGCTGTCCTTGAAGTGTCTGTCCCCGGCCTTGCCTCGTGGTGAGATCCTCCCATCTGCATGTCGGTGGTTTAGGGGCTCCATGTGGCTTATAAACTTCAGTGTCTTCGCCTCTGTGTTGGTCCACCTTAATTCCTAACTCAAAGTGGCAACGTTATTCTTACTGTGGGGAAAGTTGGTTTAGTGGTAATGATGGTCATTTTTTGTTTTGTTTTGTTTTTGGGCAGGGGAGGAAGTAGGCATGAGTGGAATAGGGTGGTGAAGGGACCTACCTAAGTGGTCTGGAGACTAAAAATGTTTGAGGATACCCGTCTTATGACCCCTCACCAAGGAAACTCAGCATAGTTCTGGAGGAAGAGGGATTGGAGGAGGGGAAGCTGCTTGCGAGGGGATGTGTTCGGATTGGTTTTGGTGCCCCTACAGAAGGCCAGAATGCTTAGAGCAGGATGAAGAGCTATTGTCCCAAGAGGTAAACCCTTGACACCTGTCCTAGGAATTCTCTCCCCATTGCAGAGCCCCCCCCCCCCTTTTGCCCATACTTTCTATGCCATTGAGCACCGTCTTATGTGTAGTATCTGAGGACACATCTTGGGTCTAGGATAAACTTCCTAGCCAGGATCTGATGCATCCTCTCTGTCCATCTCTTCAGACCTTGCACAGGAGCACGCCCTCTGACCTCTCTGTATGGTTCCGTCGTGGTTTCTTCCTGCGTGAAGAGGTCATCACAGCTGCCTATGGTGTCTGCATTTCCGAGTCTAGATATTTTGCATTTACGGAGTTTATTCATGACCTGCTTCTCTTTAGAGAGATTGCTCTCATGCATTGTCTGTACCCTTGTAGGAGTTCACAGTTGGGTGGAAAGAACGGGTTTTGGAGTTCGAGAGCCTGATTCGAATCTCAGCCTCATGATCGCCATATGAACCTCAGCAAAAAAGGGATGATACCTCCAAGAGCCGTCTTGACAGTGAAAGGCTATAAAAGGTGTCCTAAATATCTTGACTGCTTTGAAAAATGTCTGGAACACATAGTAAATGTGTCCAGTCGGTGGTTCTCAAACTTGGGTGCATGTTGGAATCACTGGGGGAAGCTTCTAAAAAGTCCCGATCTCCAGGCAGCAACCCCAGCCAGACCAATTAAACCAGATTCTCTGGGAGGGTGACCCAGGCATCAGTCTTTCTGCTCTCGCAGGTAATTCCAAGTGAAAGAACCAGTGTGTGAGTTCATTAGTGCCACCCCTCCCCGCCCCAGCACACACGCAGACGCCGGGTCCTGGGGCAGGTTAGTCAGTGTTGTGCCCGCGTTTGGGTGAGGATACAGTGTCCCCATGTCTCCCGTCTGTTCAGGCAGAGTTAAGAAGGCGGATAGCTCTCTGTGTGCCAGTCCTGAATATCCCGTTGATATTTGTTCATACTGTATTTGTCATTCACTTAGTGTCTGGGTTTAAATCAGTAATTAGTGATTCATGTGGATTCAAGAGGACAAACAAGGAAGGCCCTGGGGAGTCAGAGGAGGGTGGGATGGCTAAGGCCGGCTAGAGGGCTGGGTGGAAGGGTGGGGCCCAGGGCAGGAGAAGGAGCCACCGATGGCAAAACAAGGAAATGGGGACATTTGTGCCTTTTGTTTCTTCTGGCTGCTCTAGAAATGGGAGGCCTCCTGCAGGTCCCCCTGCTGTTCACCCTCTGGGCCACTCTGGAATGGAGCTTGGGCCCTGACTCTGTTCTCCTCCCTCCACTCCCAGCCCCCCTTATAAACAGGTGCCGGGGAGGAAAGGAGCATCAAGGTGGCGGTGCAGGGGAGTCCTGGCAGCCCGCCAGACGTGGGTGAGGGTGGGAAGGTTTAGAAGTGCGGTGTGCCTGTTTTTTTGCCCCCCCCGCAAAGTCTCACCTGCTCCCATCACCTGATGACTGTCAGCAGGGCAGGGAGGGGCTCTTGCGACTCTGCTGGTAACCTTGGAGAGCTGGGGTTGTCTGGGGAGGGAACAAAACCCAGGTTGGGGGTCTTATTTCCTGCTTGCAGTCTGGTGTGGGCTGATTCATGCGTCAGCATTCTTGCTGTGTACTGTAAATTACCGTGTAATGTGAATTTCAAAGAGCAAAGAATCCCAAGGTTTTATGCTCATGTGGGTCACACACCTAGAATCAAATTTTGTTTGTATAAAGTAGGGTGAGGCAAAGTACTCTGCAAAGTGGTGCTGATGCAGGTGCTGTCGGCCTCCAGAAATGGCAAATTTGAGTCAGAAAACGCTACAGTACACGAGGGTGTATCCAGGGTAGATCTCCCACATGCCAGCAACACCCTCCACATCGCTGGACCTGTGCTTTCTGCTCCCTTCCTTTGCCAGCAGCGTCTGGGATTTGGATCAGGTTCCTCCTTTTCTGCTTGTTGGGTGCTGACTCCTGCCCTTGTCTTTGTCCCACCCGAACCCACAGTGACCACTGTGTCTTGTGACCACTGTGTCTTGTCTCTTCCTCTTGTAGCGCCGGGTGCCCCACCCGACTTGGGAGCCCTGGGCGGCCACGGCCACCCTTGTTCCAGTTCCAGAGCCATCTGAAGCCCGGGCCCGGCTGAGCCACGAGGGTTAGTGAAGTCTCCACTGCTGAGAATGGGTGGAGCCAGAGGGGCAGAAGATTGAGAGAGCGAGAGCCAGGCTGGTGTGACCGTGGCATGAATGTGGCGTGTGTGTGAAAAAGGAGGGAATGAGGAGAGAGGGAGAGGCGGCCGGGACTGTGCCTGGCAGCAGCCTGCATGGGTGACAGTGACATGGAAAGATGACAGCAATGCGGGAGAGACAGCATAGGATTTGTGTCTGCAAGAACAGGAAGGGGACAGTCGGGGAAAGAGGAATATAAACTTCAGGCCCGTAGAGCACATTTCAGTTTTGCATATAGCCGTGTGCCTCCTAGGCCAGTGCTGATGTTGCAAACAAGACGAAATAGCTTTAAAAGTGTTAGCCAGGGAAGATGTAGGAGACTGGGACATCTCTGGATCAGCGCTGCTTAGAACCTGTAGCCGGCTCGTGAGCGTTTGTGTGTCCCCCAGCGGCAGAGAATTTCACGTGTAGAGTTTGAGAAGCCTCTTGCTTGAATAGGATGGGACTGAGGCAGTGATCAGTTACCTCTCAGGGAGGAGGCCAGAGGGTTCTTCCGTAAGAGACTGAAGGGAACTTCGATGTTCTGATGAGAGTGAGCTCAGAGGCCGGACTCATGCTCAAAGGCAGAAGACAGAAGTGAAGCTGCTTGGGGCAGTCGGGGGAAGAGTTCTGAAGATCGTGATTTATGGGTGAACAAACACCGTCCCCACCAGTTGTCGCAGAGGTGGTACACTTTCCCTTTCCTGGGGACCATTTGACCGGGGTGCCGGAGAAGGGAATTCTTGTCAGGAGGACTAGACTTCTAGGATGCCCTCCACCTGTGTGAATTATTGAGCCACCACTGGGCACCCAGGGCTGTGTTAGGACGCCCCAGTCCCTTGCATTTTGCATTGTAGTAAGAGAAGAACAGTAATGATACCACCTCTTCTAGCTCTGGCTTTTGCTGTGAAGCGAGCCCTGTCTCATTAAGTCCTCCAGATATACTCACTGGATAGAGGACTCCCGTCATCACCTTTCTGTAGATGGAGATATCGAGGTCCCGGGAGTTTAAGGAACTTGCCTCAGGTAGACTACTGTACCTGCTGGATATAGTGCTCCACAGTGGTAGGGATCCAGGCCGCTTCTGTCTTGCCCCACGTGCCTGCCTCCATTCCCAAGGTCATGGCATGGTCCAAGATGGCTATGCTAGCCCCAGCCATCACGAAGGAGGTAAAGGATTGGCGAAGGGCAAGACCTCGCAATTTAAGGACATTTCCTGAAGGTTGCACACATCTCTTCTGCTTATATTCCCGTTGGCTACAGCTTGAGTGCATGACCATACTTGGCCGCAAGGCAGGCTGAGAAATAGCATCCTTAATTCTGAGTGTCCCGCTAAAAACTGAGGGTTTGGAGGAGAGAACAGATTTTGGAGGGACAGCAACGGGTTGCTGGCCGAGTGACAGAGCTAGTAAGTAGCAGCACAGGGTTTTGAAGCCAAGGTCATTTGATTCAAATCCTGTGTTCTTCCATCTCGCCAGCAGCCCCTCTGCGAGTGTGCGGCCCAGCCCCTCCCCGATAAGGGAGGGCACGAGCCAGATGAGCCAGCCATTGTCACAATGGGGAGCAACATAAATCCGCATACAATTATACAGGCAGTGTTGGGGTCTTAGCAATAGTGGCCGTAGTATTTTCAGAATGCTTACGTGCCAGTGACTGCTAGACCCTTTGCAGAGCAAAGCCCTTCCGTATGAAGGACCCTCTGTGTCGTGTTCACTGCTCAGCCCCAGAGCTCAGCCTCACGCCTGGCACAAAGTAAGTAGGTGTTCGGTTAATTTTTTGACGACTAAGTGGTTTCTATATTGGCTCCCTCGACCAAGACAAGGAAATCAAGGCTCAGGGAGTTTGAATCATTTTGCTCAAAGGGCAAGCACTAGAAATTGGCAGAGCCTGGATTTGAATCCAAGTTGGACTCTAGAGCTTGTCCCTTTATGTCACCAAACAGGGGTTCTTAAACCTATTTTGGGCCCTGGATCCTTTGGGCAGTCTGGTGAAGCTTGTGGACCCTTTCTTTGGAGAACATTTTGAAATGCGCAAATAAAAATCCATCGACTAACAAAGGAAATCAATTATATTGAAATATAGTCATCAAAATATTAAACAAATTTATGATTATAGCAATATGTCTCTTTAGTAACGCATTAAATAACAAGCTCTAGCAG